CAAGCTAAGCCTAAGCTAAGCCAGAGCTAAGCCTCGCTAAGTCTAAGCCTAAGCCTAAGCCTAAGCCTAAGCTAAGCCTAAGCCAGCCGGCCTGCCAGTGCGCCGTCTGCTAGCCTGCTGCCAGCTATTAGCGCCTAGCCGCCGTGCTGCCTAGCTGCGCCAGCCAAGCCTAAGCCTAGCCTAACTAGCCAGGCTAGGGCAGCCTCGTCTATTCTAAGCTAAGCCTAAGTGCTTCTGTGACTTACGTACATTTAATATAAGTTTAATATAAGCTCATTTTTAGAAACGTACCGTTAATGTAAACAACACATCTTCCATCGTCGGGATGATCTCCTTGTACAGACGATCCCAAATCTGGAGCAGCTTGTAGACGTAGGAGAAGTCGTTGTGGACCTGGAAAAGTAGGCTTAAAGCGGATTAACATAGCAAAACTTTAAAATTAATAATTTTTAAATATTTTTAAAGATTTCAATAAAAAACACAATAAAATCAAAATTAAATTTTGACAAACCTGCCCAAATTGGCTGTGACAGCATTGCAGGATTTGGCACGCGTTATTTTCGACGGCTGGGATGACGGCCTGGAAAGCAGAATTTAGAGAATTTTTGTTTTTCTCTATCACTCTCTCTCTCTCTTTTCTCTCTCCCTTTCTCTCCTCTCTCTCAAGCTAGTCTCTATCTCTTTCTCTAGCTTCTTGTTGGTAATCTAAAAAGTTGGTACTAACTACCAGGGGGGGGGGCTTTGATGAGGGCAGTAAGTTTTTCCCAGTAATCCCGTACAAATTACAGTATTTTGCGCGATTACAAACTATGAAAAAGGTCAAAATGAATAAAAATCTTTGCTTCCCCCGCTAAGAACTAAGTGCCCGAAAATTACCGTAAGCCCTAAATTTCGGAAGCCATCGTAAACAACCTATTAGCCTGATAAAGATTGACTTCCAATTTTTGCTCATTAATCTACCAGGCTTCTACCTTTGAATTAACAAATCTCTAGCCTGCTCCCATATCTCCAGGAGTCCAAAAACGGCCCCGGCCGAATGGCTATAAAATCAGGGCCATCAACGTTTTATGGGCCACAAGGAGACGGGCGCATTTTTGGAAATGTTGACAGCTGATGGAGAGGGAGCGGTATCAGGAGCATGGAAAACAAATAAAATAGACGAATAAACTGAGCAGTGAACGGTTTCCAGCTGATTTCGGGGGGTGTAAAATGTTGTAAGTTTTGGGGGACACCGGAAGTGGGGGTATGCGAATGAGTAATTAGGATTTGTCACCAGATAAAAAAAGATTAAGTCCCATTAGACTTCAAGGTTGTTAAAGATTAACGTAATATTAACTACTCTTCTTCAATACCTAACAGCTTTAGATCAGAGAGAGTGAGCGAGAGAGAGAGAGAGAGGGAGCTAGAGAGAGAGCGAGAGAGAGGGAGAGAGATGAGAGAGAAGGAGAGCGAGTTAGAGAGAACGAGAGCGCGCGGGATCGTACGCGGGAGCGAGAGAGCAAAAGAGAGAAGGGAGTGAGAGAGAGAAAAAGGGAGAAAGAGCGAGAATTCGTGAGAGAGCGATTGCGCAATTTATAACTCACAATATCCTTCAAAAAGTGTATCAGCCCCATCTTTTGCTCATCTTGGAGGTCCTCGATCTCAGCACAGAGCTTCACCCGATCCTCACAGCTACACTCACAACCACGCAACATTGACAGCAGCATCAGCTCCATTCTAAAAAGTGATTTGTAAATGGTAAACTACGCTGAGGTTTTCATCTTAAGATTAATCACTTACGATGGGTTATTCCCGAATGGTGTCGACGTTTGGGGGGAATCTCGCGTGGAGAATTTCCGGCCTGCGAGCGACAGCTTCGGGGAGGGGAGCGGGGCTTTCGATTGTTTCAATATATAGGCTGAAAACAAAAATAATTGGAACGGTTTGGCAAGTACAAATCGTAGATCCTTAGCTGCGAAATATCAAAAAAAAATGCTGCGTTCGGGATCTGCTTTCCAAGCCGCTTAAGACGACTTTTGGCTTTTTCTCCATACGTTCTCTCATTCCAAAAGGCTCTCTGCTAGCCTACCAGTTTCTGAGTTGCAAAACACCCGAAAAACGGCTCAATTCCCCTAATTCCACTTGAAAACAGCTTACAGGTGTGCATGGACGGGTGGACGCCGGCCGACGAAAACAACATCTTCACGTGGGACGGAATTTTGGCGGATTATAGGCAGCTGGGAAAAGCTGGAAAATTGAGGGTCCAGAAATTCGAAAACAAAGTTTATCGATGATTATTGTGTTATTGAAAGAGTGTGAGAGTGATGGAGCGAGAGAAAGCAAGAGAGAGAGAAAGAGAGAGAGAGAGATAGAGAGAGAGAGATAGAGAGAGAGAGAGAGAGAGAGAGAGAGAGAGAGAGTGAGTGAGTGACTGCGGAAGGGATTTTTGAATGACGCGTACGCATCACCCTCACGTGGGGGCATTGTGATATGAAAAATCAAAGCGGAATGGGTGACAAGGAGAAGCGCAAACTTGGCTTAAACTTGAGGCGTAAGGTTTTTGAATAAAACGCTAGTGTTTTTTTAATAAATAAAAAGCTAGTGATCCTATAAAGTTAGAGTTGGTTACAAAGGTATACCTCGAATTACGCTAGTAAGGGTCGGTGAAGACCACAGATATGTAAATTTTGCGACAGGTAACTTTCAATGTTGTAACGGTACGAAAGATGAATGCCTTAATGACATCAAATAGTTTCATTAATACAAATGTTCTTAAGGTGAAATTGTTGCAGAATCAGTGTGGCATAGGTGTAGCTTTAAAGGTATTTATTACGGTTTAATTACGGATTCTAGAGAACAAACAAGGCTCAACACTGAAAAAAAACCCATTTATATCCAAAATGGTGGTTTGTTGGTTCCTTCAAAGGAATCCTATTCCTGACGGAAAAATCTAGAAATGCAAAGCTGCAAGGAAGATTGATTTCCCAATTTTACAAATGACGCTATGCGACCAGCTTGAAACCTAGGCCTCAAAAAAACACCCAAAAGCCATCAAATTCGGAATTCCACCAAAAAGGCATGAAAATTGGACTGAAACCGCCGTATTGTGATTCACACCCGCCAAAAGGACTGGACGACCCCGGGCTCGGCCTCCTTATCTACCCCCTTCCAATGTTTTAGGGCAGCTTATAACCCCCTGGCGACCTGGGCTGGCTTTTTCTCTGCTTCTCCTACTCCTAATGATTTCTCTCTCGCACTCTCGCCTCGCCTCTAATTTCTGATCGGACCCGCCGGACCCCTCCGCCTCCCCACCTGGCGGCCAAAAGTTCAAACAGGCAAAGAAATTTCTGGGGATTGAGTTGCGGATTACAAAGTGCTTTTTTGGGGCTTAAGCTGAGAATAAGCCGCCTTATGTTTGGATGTTATTTTTGTGGAAGGAAAATGTTTTGGTTGGGGCTCGCAAATCTTTCAATGTCTCTTCTCTCCTGTCTCTCTCACACTCTCTCCCTCTCTCTCTTTCTCTTTCTCTCTCCTCTCTCCCACCCTTTCACACGTATTTCTGAGCATTTTAAAGAAGCTGGGAATGCCAGGATACCATTTTCTTTGCCTAGGTCTCGACCGACACGCAACGCAGCTACATCGGCTTAGCGACCGACTGGGTGCCTTACGTTAAGCGCACCCAGCCACTTAGTACAACCCGATCCGATCGGACCCCAAAACTAGACGATAAGCGCTTAATCTTAAAGCTTCCGATTTATAGAAGCCGCCCACCCTAATCAAGTGCAAAATATTGACCCAGCCGCCTTGTGCCTAACCAGCAGCATCCCGGGGGCCCCCGGGAACAATGGGATTCATATCAAGGCGCCACACAGACCCAAAAAATTGTTGGCGTGCCCGGTCCGTACCTGGCACACGTGACTACTGATGCCGCGATGCAAAATCACCGTAATGGAATGGGGCTCAACAAACATAACGGGCTCTCCAGGGCAAAAAAAAAAAAAAAAAAAAAAAAAAAAAAAAAAAAAAAAAAAATTAAAAAAAAAAAAAAAAAAAAATTTTAAAAAAAAAAAAAAAAAATTAAAAAAATTTAAAAAAAAAAAAAAAAAAAAAAAAAAAAAAAAAAAAAAAAAAAAAATTTTATTTTTTTTTTTTTTTTTTTTTTTTTTTTTTTTAAAAAAAATTTTAATAAAAAAAAAAAAATTTTTAATAAATTAAAAAAAAAATATTTTATTTTTTTTTTTTTTTTTATATTTGGCCTATTTTTTGTGTGTGATAGCCTGAAACTGGGGGTCCGTGGGCTATTTTTGGCTTATCGAATGTTGTAAAGGCGGAGGAAGGAATTTGAGGGTTGAAAAAGATTTGTGGGAGCTGTGAGAGTATAGACAACGGGCAAGTCCACACTGACAAATAGCCTTGGCTTTGCCATCGGAATTTCGAAATTCATACAATGAAAATTCAAATTCATAATACCGAGATTGCATGATTTCAAGATTGAGAATGTCGAAATTGCATCACGGCGGAATTTTTAGTTGAGGGAATTCGTTTTTAAAAAATTTATTATGTGGAACACTAAGATCTCGACCTGAATGTCGCAATTTCGCCACATTTTGTCTGTGTTACGCATGGATTACGCTCTATAAATCGGGTTTTTCTGCACCTTCCATGAAATTTCATGATTTATCCTAGCAGGAAAGAACATATTAGCACAGAAACAGCTCAATACACCAACGCGATAGTCCGTCCATTCATATACAGCGTCTGGAATTCAGGGTGAAATCACAAATCTCAATGGCGTGTGGGAAGAAAGAGGGTAGAAATATGCAAGTAATACGGGGAAATACTTTTGACTAGCACCGGTATAAGGTCAGCTTCGGAAGCATTTTGTGAGAGAGCGAGAGAGCGAGAGAGAGAGAAAGAGAGAAAGAGAGATAAAGAGAGAAAGAGAGAGATAGAGAGAAAGCGAGAGCGAGAAAGTGAAAGAAAAATGGAAGATAAACATCAAAAATTTGTGATAATCGTTATTTTGGCTTAGCAAATAGGTGGGGGAAGCTTTCGGAGATGGAGCTCTCGAGCTCCGGTGAAGCCGAGATGGCATCACGATACTCATCTGGAGCTGAAAAAATGGTTTAACGTGGTTGTAAAGCTATAGCGTATGCATCGACCGCTACGTTACATTCCAATTGGGGAGCAAGAGCATTTAATAGAATTCCGATACCTCTCAACATTGGTGTAGCCTCATCACCCTCCTCTTCATCCTCTTCATCATCTAATGGATCTTGGAACCGATCAAAGTCCCCGTAATTTGGAGTCCGGTGTACTGCCGGGTAATCATCATGGGCGTCCGGTGGACCATAATCATTAAGGAACAGGATGCTTTCCGGGGGCTTTCTCCCGGGTATCGGTGTCTGATCAGGGTCCCGCCCCGAATCTGGGCTCGTCAGGTCGGCTTCAGGTGAAGCCAGGCTTGGACGGCTTTCGATAGGCGCCACAGCTTCTGGTGCTGGGTCATTTGAGAAGCGGTGAGGATGGAAGAGACTAAAAAAACAGACTTTTTGGGCTTTTTAGCGAAACTAGTCAAGCTAACGGAGAGCTTTTGAGGATTTTGTGGGGTCAAAAAAGCTAAGAATGGCTTTTAAAGGGACCGGAAAGGCTAAATAATCTCGCGAGTATTTTTGAAATACGAGAAACTTACGTTGGCCTCGATAATGAAGCTGTTGTTGTCTCGTCCTCGCTGCTCGTGCTAGCTTGGAGGGATCCTGAAACTCGAAGTCGGATGTTAGTTATGCTACCTCCATGCTAAGCCTAAGCTACCTAAGCCAAGCCTAAGGCAACCTTAGCTAAGCCCAAGCTAAGCCAAAGCCCATTCTTGAACCCAGAAAATTCAAGTTTTCAAGCAAATTAAGCCACTTACCAAAGTCCGGATCAATCAACTGCCCAGCCGGTGTGGTCTGGGTTACGGTCTAAAATAAATGCCATTTTTTTCATCTAACGATCCGGATCTCTAAAAATCAACTATCTTACCGTATTCCGGTCGATCGGCTCAAACTCGGGCCAGTCGTTGAACACCGATTTTACGTACGGGGAACGCGGGCTGGTCGCTTCTTCATCTGCCTAAATAGGGCTGATTAAGCTCATTGATTTAAATTTTCCTTATTTTATAAAAATTTAATGAACTTCATTAAATGAATCCAATCAAGCCAAACTTACCTCCGGGATCACCGAAAATTCCTTGCTATGCGGCACCGTCTCGTCGTGGTGATAGTGCGGGTGGTCATGGTAATTCGGGGAGGCCTGGAATATGGCATTTTCTACCTGTAGTTATAGTCATTAAGTTTGTCGTTATTTCCCTCGTCATAAATTTTATATACCTTTAAGTCCTCAGACCATACTATCGATTTTCTCGGCGACGCCAGCCCGGATTCCAGATCCGGCTCGGCTAACGGGTTCGACCAAAGTGAGCTGTGTTTCCTGAATTTTCCTATGTAATTTTAGCTAGGTTTTAGCTACTTTTCAGGTGTATTTTTTTACTTACGGTGTCTCGCCATTGCTCTTCTGACCAGCTCCGGAAGCTCGACCGGAACGGGGTGTTGTATAGGGCGGGGTGGCCGGGCCAGCGTTGGTGATCTTTCGGACCCTGAAAAGACGAATAAGCGTGGGCTTAGCTTAAGCTTAACTTAGGCTTAGCTTAGGCCTAGCTTAGCCTTAGCTGAGGCTTGGTTTAGGCTTGGCTTGGGCTTAGCTTAGGCTTAGCTTAGCCTTATCATAGGCTTAATACCCACCACGTATTCCTCTTTATCTTCCTGACCCCTTCGTGGCAAAAACCGTAGTGGAAGCAGAGGTACAACAACTCGATCAGGGTCAACAGTGAAGCCCCGAGGAACAGACCGAGAGCACCACCAATATCACCTGTATATACATTAATATATAATCCCCGGGCTATCAGATCCTTACATGCCAAACTCCAGAAGGTGTACGTCTTCTTCTGCCTCCAGCGCTCCAGGTTCATCTTCGAAAGGTAGATGTTCACCATGGCAAAATTGTCGCTGGAATGTTTTCATAAAAAAGTTTTTCTAAAGGTCAGCAAAAATAATAAAAAGTCTTGGACTCTACCTCTCGAATTTCGTGTCGAAATCGAAGTTCTCCAGGTAGCTGGGCAGCTCCTTTTTGTAAAGGTTGTTGTAGGCGGACTGGAAAGTTTTATTTAGAGGGAGAGAGCGAGAGAGAGAGAGAGAGAGAGAGAGAGAGAGGAGAGAGAGAGAGAGAGAGAGAGGCAGGGAGGGAGAGAGAAAGCAAGATAGAGGGATGTGGTTTACCTGGAACTCCTTATATCCCTTCTTGAAACCGTTGAGCAGCTCCAGTGAGGTGGCGTTGACTTCCCCGTTCAAGCAGCTGCGCAGATCGACGAGAAAATCTGAAATACGTGTTTTAAATGGGCTAAAATCACTTTAGTTCCGTTGTCTCTGGGTTTGGACTCGGTTAATGACAAAATACTTACCTCGGAATCTAGTAGCGTTCTGGTAGTTCAACTTTCCAAAGTACAACACGGAGCCGATCTTAAAAAAATATGTAAGATTTAAGCTATGTTTTGAACGGTTTGGCGTCTAAAAACACGACCAACCTTCTCAACATGCCCATCCTTGATCTCCTCCTCCATCTTTTTCCACTCGTTCTGCTCGGCGTCGTTCAGCACTTTTTGGATTTTTTGTTGGAGGTCGGCATGGATGGGTTGGTACCAGTTCTGAAAACAAATTTTGTATAGTAAAACTGAGAAATGCATAGTTTACGGAATTACGGTTACGGTAGAAAGCCCACGTCATAGAATTCTTCCTCGAAAAAGTGGCGCATCGAGCGGGACTGCATCTTGTCGGCCCAGGTTTTGCGGTGGAGTTTTCCGTGGTCGTACTGTAATAGATATTTGTATTGTAAATTTATGATATCTGAAAAGCCGAAGCTAAGCCTAATTTACCTGGTTCATCAACTCCAAAATCCGATCCATACGTCCCAGCTCTTGATTCATATTCACGTGAAAGTTCTTCTCGACAAAAATCGCCCACAGCTTTCCAATATAGTCCGCTACCAGCTCCATTTGTTTCAGGCTTGTCTAAATTTTGAGATTCCGCTACGCTGCTATGAACGTCAGATACCTCAACGTTATCCCCATATACTGCCTTCATGTCGCCGATAGCCTTGAAGCGTTCGGGTTGTCGTTGGTTGTCGCGTTCGTCGAGGAGCTAAATTTTGAGAGTACTTTTTGGTTTACAAAAAAAAACTATTTGAGAGGCGGATGTAACGGAGAAAGAGAGCGAGAGATAGAGAAATAGAGCGAGAGAGAGAGAGAGAGATAGAGTGAGGGAGTGCATAAGAGTTAGCTCGTATCATCCACTTGCCATATGCAGTTGATGAGCCTTGTTCTCCTCACCAGCTGCCGGCGGATTCGTCAGGGCGATCACAACCTAAAATTGATTAAATTTGCATCTAAATCAAGATTCTCACTTCCGAGTGCTTTTCCCGGAGCGCGCTAAAGCATGGGCAGCTGGTGTTCAACCGCTGGTAGACCGAGACGAACTCCTCGTTTTTCCAGCCCCAATCGTTTGAGATTAGACTAGAAAGGTATCACCCGGGATTAAATATAACTTTCTAAAGCCAATCCTAGTATTTAAAAAGGCAAGTCTCCAAAATGCCCACCGATTCTTCGCAATCAACAGCTTTGCAATCAGCCGCTTTGTCTTTAAGTGTATATCGTCTTGAAAACGGGACTGCTTCTCGAACGCGTTCTTCGCCACTCGCGTAATCGATTTTACCTAAAAATTAGATACCTTTAATAACTTTATTAATACGATGTTATCCGACAATTGATCAGCGTCGTCGCACACAAAGAATTCGGTCTTGTTCTCGCTGGACACTGGACGTGAGCGGATCTGTTGGGCTAACTGGAAAACTCGAAACACCATAAGGTTTTGTTAAAAAAAATTACCCTATCAATTTCTTCATCCTCATCCTCGATGACATCTTGTTCATCTTCTTCCTCATCTTCGTCGATTACTGGGGGCATGATGTTGGTAGGAAGGCGATTCATGTCCTGAAAATGTTAAATTCACACCCTGGCACCATTGAATTGCTTTCATAGGAATTAAAAAATTTCAACTTTATTTTTTATTTAAAAGGACCTAGATGCTTTTGGAGCGTTCTTATTAAATCGGTTGATCTCAAAACACCTTCTTAACGCACCTGCCAGGCTGTATAATCGATGCTTTCACATGGTGGCAGACAACTCGCTGTATCACCGCTTTCTCGAACCCTTAAAAGGACATATTTTTCGGTAATTTTGGAATCAATTTACTATAATAAGAGAGCCTCCTCAAAATAAAGGTAATATTCATAGCTTGTCCACGTATTTCTCGAACACTCACTTGCTAATCGCGCGCTCCACACATCCGAAATAGTCGTCGATGTTGCAGCGTCGGAAGGGTACTGTAAAAGTTATTTCTCTATCTCTATCGCTCTCTCTCTCTCTTTGTATCATTAATGCAGCCACGTTCAATCTCCTATCAGCCACCTTCCCGCTCACTAATATACCATATGACCAGATGCCATTGACCTCTTATCCCATCCCTTTAATGCGTACTTATGCGTATCACCACGTGCGTCACATCTGCTCAATACTATATAATACCTCTAGATTTACATATAACTATACTCTTTCATCGATCATCACTCAACCAATCATCATCATCATCATGTCTACCACCATCGTTCTCCAATCTGCTACCACTACTACTCAAAACCGACCTGCTCGAGCACTACGACTCCGTCGCCCTGATGTTCAAGTGAGTTTTTTTATTTATGGAAGCCTATTCTTGAACATACGTTTAAACGTCCATTAAAGCCTAAGCATTTTATTCCTACCCAAACTGAAACCCAAAACCAAACCCCAAAATAATTTTAAGCCAGATAACAGCTTAGAAAAATTAAAATAGACAGAAAGTGTAATACACAATATTAATAAGCTAGAAAGGCACTATTTAACAATTAATTCTTTTAGATCTACCGCCCCGGAATGATGAAATTGGGCCGTGACCTGACTGTCCCATCTTCTCCGATCTCTACCCCGGAATTCGAATTGGAAATCGAAATCATCCCTGTGAAAGCGAAAGAAGCTCCTATCGTCCCGACTACCGTATCCCAGCCTACAGTACCCCTCACAGCCTTTGATCTCCTATGGAAAATGGTCGAACCGTGGCTACAGATGGATTGGATTGAGGTGAGCTTTAATTCTGCTTATTTGGATTTGATTAACTAAATTTTGTGCAAGAATTCTATATATTCTTCCCTAGCTTCATGATTAGCTTCCAAAAAAATTAAATTTTAGCTTAAAATTGAGAAATTTTAAGTTATGAAATTTATTAAAGCAAGTAACTTTTAAAGAAACTGGCTAAAACTATCGATTCATTATTGAATTACATTAATTTGATCTTTTTTTCAGCTATGCGCCGATGATTATTTCTGCGGCCCCGATCTCGACCAATTCAACAAGACTACCGTACCCCAACAACCTGAAGAGCCCATCCCCGCCAAACTACCTCCAAGAAGACCCAGGTTTCGTCAAGATTTCATCTCGAGGATTCGCCGATTTTTCGAATAATGTCTCTACCAAAATTATTAGCAAATAATTATTACCTTCGCATCTGATATTTTCACCACTAAAACTTCCCATTTCCCAACGGCCCTCTACAAATCTGGATTTGCTAAATATTTCCCAGCAATCCCCGTTCGTAATTCCTCTAAATTTACCCTCATTTCTTGCGCTGGCTTTGCTAAGTTTTAATGCGTTAATATTTCTATTACCTCTGAATTCTATAATTTCCTAATCCTGTAATGTTATGCTAATATTTTTGAGACTACTCGAATTTTAATAATTCGAATTTTAACAAGACCTAATTTCAACATTAGTAAGTTAATACAAAGTATTTCTGACACCATAATACTTTGTTTTTACAAATTTTCTTTATTCTTTTTTTTCTAATTTACGACTCTTATTTTGCTGCTATATTTGTTAAAAGCGCAGGATATAAATCCAGCTACTAATTTAAATGATTAAATTTTTGTATTTTGAACTGAATTATTTATTCTTTTTTCCAAAAATCTAGACTTAAGATTTAATATACCCTTTTAATAAATTTTATAGTTTTCCCCTCTGGGGTTTTTGGCACAAGAATTTATAATCTTTCTTTCTATCTCTTTCGATTTGTATAATTTTTACGCTTGCATTGCATTATTCCCGTTTCTGTGTATTTTGCGATAAACCTTCTGTGCCTCAAAAAACTGCAACAAACTACAAGCTACAAGCTACAAACCACAAGCCACAAAACCTACCCGTTGTCGGCGATTGCGGAAAGGCGTGTCGAATCGTGCAGTCGCAAAACTTTTCAATTTTCTGCACGTAGATTCGGATGGCGCAGGTTCTAGAGAAAAAAAAGTTTTTTTTAACTACCTAGGTAAAAATAATGAAATAATAATAATAATAAATATAAATAATAAACATATAAATAATAACGCAATTCAAGATTTCCCTGCTTACCTTATATTATCCGGGCTGAAAAAGTCTTCAGCAGCCGCTCTCTTGTTCTCCTCCGTTTCCTCGAGACAAGCTTTTGCGGATGGGATTTTGTGTCGCTAAAAACCATACCGTCAGCCATAAACTTGTCTTAAATTCTTGTAAAAATTATTGATCCTTCTAGGTTTTTAAAGTAGAGCTTACATGCTGCATCTTGAAAGGAATATCCATCGAATAGCCCGGTGGCACATTTACACCATTCATTGTCGATTCGGGGATATCGGTCTGGTTATAGATGAGGATCTGGAACGTTGATTTAACGTTTGGCTTAGAAAACAAATTTAAAGGGGCGTGCAAGGTTTGCCTATGGATTTTTGGATCCGGATCCCCGCTGTTTCGCCGCGGTCGCAACACGCAACGCGCCATCCGCTAAACCCCTGGTATAATCGCTTATGTAATGAAATGCCCTTTAAACCGTCGGAGACTTCAAAGGAAATTGTGTGTCGCGTCGCGGTTTTTCCAACTGCATATGAGAGAGCTCACCTTTAACCCTGCCTGTGCTCTTGCCTTGAAGTAAGGTGTACATGCTTCGATTCTTTCATAGCTTTCAACATTCAGGAGTAATTGTAGGCCGTGGCCAGAGCCTAAAATATAGAGGATCAGATCTCTCTCTATCTCTCTATCTCTCTCTCTCGCTCCCTTTCTCTCTTTTTTCCGCTTTCTCACTCTCTCTCTCTCTCGCTTTGGTTTTCTATGGCTCTCTCAGTCGACATGATTTTGCAAAACGCTAAAAACTTACCACTTCCGCTAACCCTAACCGGATTGTGCGGGTCGCTGTTAATCACATAGCATATCCCTAAAAACCTTATTTCACGCCCTGAAATACCGTACCGCTCATCGTCCATATCTGCTTAAAATGTCTAGGTAAACAAGCAGTCCCGTTCGGCCATGTGCACCTAAAATCCACTCGTTTTACCGTAACCGAACTCCATACTTTAGGATCATATTCGTTTTCATGTGGGCGGCTTTTCGGAAGAACGTGACCGCATCTTTGTCCCAGATATTTTGCAGAATCTAGGTTTTTTTAACGATGTTAAAGTTGTCTACAGTATACCTGATCGAAAATCGAGCTGTTCCCGCCGCCCGTCAACAAATTTTTATAGCTTGTCGGCTTTCGGGTATGGCGGGCATTTGTGATGTAGGTTAACCTAAAAACAGAAAGGTTAATTAGGGTGGAAATTGGTCATAAAGTGGCGCTTTTTGTAGTCAAGAGGCTTTGGAATGTTGGCTTCCCTGAAAACGAGGTATTTTACAAAACGCTTTGCGGTTGAGTAAGAATCAATCTTCACTGATCTTGGTTAGCTTGCCCATGGATGGGAGGATTTTTGCAGCAAATACACAACCAATTCCGCGATGATCTTTGCTAGCTTTTCATCATAAGAAAAAAAATCGTCTGAATCCGGGTATTTACACGATAATCGCCGCTCGTTCATAGGAAAGCTGTGCCAAGCCGCTTCAATAATTTCTGCGAACTTGCCCCTAGAGAGCTTAGGCTCAAATTTATGATAAATGATTCCTCGATAATCTATGCGAGTTGCCCTTGAACAGAACAAATTTGAACTGGAAAAGAAACAAAATTCGGAAAATCCAATTTAATTTTTTAGCTTCAAATCTCAACAAAAAATAATCAATATCGAGACCACCTGTACTGATTATTGTTACAAATCGCAACCGCCGGCAGTTGAACACTATTTGGATACTCCGCCTCAATATCCGTCGCCACCGGGTTGCTCCAGAAGAATGAGATCTGCGAATTTAAATAAATAGAAATGCCAAAGACTATACCTGCGAATAGATTTGGTAGAGGGCCAGCACGATGAATAGTAAGATAATGATGATCCAAAGGGCCCTAAAAAGAGTCGTAAAAATATCTCACTCCCCGCCCCGCTCTTTCTCTCTCTCTCTCTCTCTCTCTCTCTCTCACTCTCCCTCTCCCCTCTCCATCTCTATCCCTCTCTATCTCTTTCTCTCACTCACCTACTCCACCCGTTCGACCCTTTCAAATGTCGAACACCATCCACATTTGCTTCTTGAATAATGTCGACAAATCCCTCGCTGACCTGTTAGACGTTTTTGGACTTATTTATAGAAAAGAGGTATAATTTAAATTCCCTACACTACAAACTACGATACAAAAGGCCGCTACAAACCTCAATATTCCCATCTTCCGTCTCGACGATCGTCATCCTTCTAGGGTGTCCATGTTCTGATGTTGGGGAGGCGATCGAGCCGACCGGGCTGATCTGCTGGCTCCTGGAAAATTATGGTTTTATTTCTAATTAATTTTGAAGGTATTGTTTTGGGGGGTAACAACAATAGGGGTTACCGTATCGTCCGTGTTGAGCCGAATCTGGCTCTACGGAGGCTTGGACGGCTATAGAAGTTTAATTTAAGGATAAGATACTAATTGTCTTCAATAAGGGATTGTATGGAAAGCTATCAATAATTATTTTTAAAAAATTTGAAAGCCGGGAAGTACTGTAAAATAATTCTTTAAGGGTTGTAAACTTACTTTTTAGAACTGGCGTTAAGATCTATTTTTTTAAAATTTGCATGATGACTCTAGAGAGAAATGGACTGCTGGTCTATATGTTACAAATTTCTGTAGTTTGTAGTACAGCGTAATTCGACTCTAACTTACCGTCTTCGACCCCATTCCTTCTCCTTTTTTCGCTTCACCCAGAGTGAATATAGCGGAAACATCAGGAATCAATAATACAGCTTTTTATAGCTTTTTAAATTCCAATTTTCAGCATCGCAGTAGTAAGTTGATTACCGTAACCACAAACCGTCCCACAACAATTTGGAGCGCTGTGTGGAATCTCGGCAAAATTGGCCCAAGACACCTCCTTGCCCCCCAGCCGGCTTTATGGGAATCGCTGTTGCACGTCTCAAAAACGACAAGCTGTCCTTTGGCTTGGCCTCTCTCTCTCTTTCTCTCTCTCTCTCTCTCTCACGCTCTCTCTCTCTCTTCACAGATCTGCCGCTTTTTCTGTTCAATCAGGTGCCGCTGTCAGGAAATGTTAGGCCAGAGGGCAAATTGGGGGAGGATGGATCGCAGCGGGGAATTTGTAATTTTTCATGGCATAATAGGGTATTTTTTAGAAGTATCGGATTTATACTATTATACATTTTTATTAGATTACACGAAGTTTAGCCTAAGCCCAAGCCTGAGCCTAGACCAAGCCTAACCTAAGCCTCAGCCTAAGCGCAGGCCTAAGGCTTTGTAATTACCCACCCAACAACAATCGGCTTCCCGCCATCTATCGGTCTTCGAATACGGATCACCTCCAGCGAGTTTGGACGTGACAACCTCCTAGAAAACGCAGTAATCTCTGTCACTCTCTTACTCTCCATCTCTCTCTCACACTCACTCGCCATGCAAATTTTTCATGTCGATTTGAAACGAACCTCGGCTCGAAGGTGCCCATCAATTTCTCGGCCACTCTCGGCATTTTACGGCTCGTTGGCTAGCTCACTTGGGCCCCATCAGTGGGAAAGAACGGAGAGGAGCCCTAAACACTGATAGTTATGGCCCGCCCGGGTTCGGGAACGCATAAGCAAGGAGACAATGAAAAAGCCGTGATGTAAAAAGTTTTACAGAAAAGTATCACAAAATTAAAAAAAATTGTTTAAAAATAAGGTTTTTTTTAAAGTTTAATATTTTTGGGTTTTTTTTTTTAATATAAAATAAAGGTTTTTTGATTGGGTTTTGTTTTTTTTTTTTTTTTGCGAGAGACAGGGAGAGAAAGAGAGAGAGAGAGAGAGAGAGAGAGAGAGAGAGAGAGAGAGAGAGAGAGAAGAGAGAGAGTGAGAATGAGGTGAGAGCAAGGAAAAAACATAAAATTTCAAATGAAAAATTTTCAAATTTTCAAAAGTTTACTTCTGCCAGTCCTTTTATATCATCGAGGCCTCAAAAAAGCACGAGTCCCAGTTACCTGGTCCCGGATTCCAGGTTTCTCAAAATTAAAAAATCGCAAAAAATTAATGAAGGCTTCCATTACCCGGTCCGAGGTATCCCCAAATCAAAAATACCCAGCTGCCTAACCCCGAAAATAACTTTTCCACCCCTAGTGGCAAGTGACCGATCGGGCCCGGGTCAAGAAAAACGCCCCAACACCCTGTGATCCCAGCCGACCCCAAGAGCTAAAGTACGTTTTTAGCAATCCCACTCATTGCCTCGAGCCACGTTAGCGGTGCAAAAAAAACATTAAATCTACTCGGCAAGGCGAAATCCACTCGATATGGGCTAAATTCACTCGTCCGGCCACCGTCGACCCATTTGGGCAGATGGGAATTTGGGGAAAGTGCCGAATCTGGTGAGGCCGTTTTTAGGCGCATCCCGTAGTCCTATTTGTCGGGCACGAATTGCTAAAGAGGCGCTTTTTGGAGAGGACGCAATAGTCGTGATTTGGAATGGATGGAGGGGGAATGTAGGCTAAGTTTCAGTGCCGGCCCAAAAAAATAGAGATTATTAGGCGTATATGAAACTATCCGTTAAGAGCGCTAGGAAAGCCCAAAATCGACCCCTAGATCGACTAACTCTCGACAACTGCGATTTCAGATGGCGTGGTAATTAGCTCGGCCCGGAGTCGTCGAGACCTAGTAGCTAGAAGAGGTATATTTTTAGGCTTTCTGGTTTCTTAAAAAACCTAAAACCGGAAGCAGATATCAAAATAGCATAAGACACCTCAAAACGAATGCCAATCAAATGGCGCGAACGCCTGACGTAAAGTTGTAACGCGGATTGAAGCCAGGCGGCCAATTGATAAGGGCCCTCGCACCCTTTCGGGCCACTGGGACGGCACGACCTAGCAGGATATCCCAACACTTGGACAGCCCTCCTCTCTCTCTCTCTCTCTCTCTCTCTCTCTCTCACTCTCTCTCGCTCTGTATGTGAGTGTATGTGTGGATGGGTCTCGCCACGATCACTCAACCCTTTCGGGCCCCCGATGCACCGAATCGCCGCCATGCCTTGGGGCGGCATGCAAAAAAAAGAACGGCTGCCGATGATTAGCCGGGCACCTATGCGTCGGTTGGTACGTCAATTGTAGCTATCTGTAGTCTTGTCGAGGTCATAAAAATTAATGCTTGTTTAAGGATCCTTAAGCGCAAGCCTACGCTTACCTTAAAGGTGCAGCTAAGCCCAACAAGCCAAGCAGATCCCAAAAAAAATCAAAATCAGTGACTTACGTGGCTTTTAAGCGCAATTTTCGATGTTTTAAACCCGCTAAATCTTCTCACCGTATACGCGTCGGCTTCCGTGCTGCAAAAATTCGCAACACTTCCCTACAATTGACGCACCCCCGACGAACTTTCCGAACCCGCTAATTGTTGCTTGCACCCTTACAGTACCCCCAGACGCAACAATTACCCAATTTTTAGGTTTCGTAAATTGTCAGGAAAGCCGCAAGTGTAATTATGAACCAAAGAGACATCGGAATTCGGCACTGGATGTCTACCGTAATCTGCTAATTATGGATATTTTTCTAATTTTCATTTTCTCCACCAAACACTTACAGCTTAAATTTCACTAATGACATAGTAAATTCCCGTAAAAAATTTTGAAAATACAGATATTTGGATTTTCTGTAGGTCCAGTTAATTTTTTTTCTAACTCCGGTTCCTCGACTCCAGGTAACTTTTGGCCCTGGTATTTTTAAGACATGCCATTTTTCAGCTACAATGTCCAAAGACCTACAGCTGGGCCAGATTCCCCGGGATTCCAATTAAACATTTAGCCCTCCGGGGCGGCTAAGGGAATGGGGACCCGCAGAGCCGGATGGGAAGGGCCAATGGGAGTGCCGATTTATCGGTGCCCCTGTTACACAGACAGACACACAGACAGACATTAGAGAGAGGGAGAGAGAGAGAGAGAGAGAGAGAGAGAGAGAGAGAGAGAGAGAGAGAGAGGAGGGAGATGGAGCTACGCTCAAAAAACGGGGATTGCACTTGGGGCATAGCATGCCTTTTACCCGGCCGCAAGCACATGTTTCGGTTTGAGGATGAGATGGACCTGGAGAGAGCGATAGAGCAGAAACTATTTGATCCCAGTTGAAAAACAAGCTGAATTTTGCTTAAGGCGTCAACTGGAAAATGTTGGAGCTCCAGGTAAGGTCTCGGGTTCTTTAATGGCCTAATAGGCTTAAAAACTGCTCAAAAACTATATCAAAGGGTCAACGACGTCTAAGAAAACTGTGGATTAATTTTTTGACATCTGCATCTTACAAAAGAAATTAAAGGCACGTTCAAGCCAAATAATTTACCCTTTCTGTCGTTATTAGGTGTCGACAACTACGCGGAACGCCAAATGAGGTGAAAGCGAATAAAAATTTTTGCTGAAGCAGCCCTAGTTGAAATAAGGAGATGGGGCCGTTTTTCGCGAGAGGTTAGGAGAGTTTGGGCTTGGGCTTAGGTTTAGGCTCACGCCGAGGCTTCCGCGTCGGCTTGGCCTAGTCTTAGACTTATTGTTACGCTAGTAGTAGCTTATCGTCTGCCAAAAAGAACACCAAGCTCAAAAAGTGATGACTAAGACGAAGAGAAACATAGTAGCCATGGGGGGGGATAAATTGAATACCACTGACCGCCTGGATCCCCCACCGAAATCTAATTGTTTTCCAGCTGTTTTTGCTAAACTGGTGCGGCTGGTTCGAAGAGACTAAAGCTATACGTTTTCAATCTGAACCCACGGATCTAGTGGCGAGGGAGGGAGAGAGAGAGAGAGAGAGAGAGAGAGAGAGGGGCGATAGAGCGATAGAGCGAGAGAGAAGAGGGAGAGAAAATAATCGAAAATTGGTCTCGAAGTTCCGGGATTTGAGGCAATTTTCGAAATCTGCGGTAAATCGGGTAGCTTTTCAACGTAATGCGATAATGCCTTGCGCTACGTAATCGGCATTTTTATCTAAAAGATTGACTACCCTGTAATAAAAACCTATTTATAGTATGCCGGGTTAAACGTTCTTAATTCGTTTATCCTCTAATCAAACCCAAAAAGGGAAGTTTTATCTTAAAAAGTGCGGGTTTCCAAGTTTCCTTTGTCCTTCTTTTCCTTTGCGTTTTTATTATTTTTAGTTTCGTTTAGTTAGTTTTAGCATTTCGTGTTGTTATTCACAAATTTCAGCACTTCAATCGTTGCCATCCAACATTCTTTACGTAACCCACGCCTCCCTAATTACACCATTTTAAATGGATAATCGTAGCTATGTGTAGAAAAGGGTTGATTAGAGGTTTATGGTTGTCTCACGTAACCGTCAGCGGAAAATTACTTAAAAGTATTTTACGGGCCCAGATGTGGTTAGGGGAGCTTCTGGCCTGGAGATTTTCGAGGGCAACCAGGCCTTTGATGCCTTTTAGATGCCGACTCTTACCGCTTAACTCTAAATATACAGATGTTCCGGGCCTAAAATTGGCAAAATCGTCCTTTTCAGAGCAAATCTTTACGGAGAGCCATTCTTGATAGAGGTGATTTGTCTGAATATCAACCTCTATCGAATGAGCGAATTTCAGCCCCAAAATGACCACTTGTAAGCCGGGATTGAATCCAGCTCCATTGACACAATACCCTCCCCGTCAAACCCTAGACGCTGTTTGCTTGTTCCCTCCAAAATATCACAAACGCCTCCGCCGGCGGCGCCGGGGATGTGTTGACCCTCTTTAATTTGGGGGGCTCGGTCCACGCAGCATTTCGGGCCAACGGAGGTGACAGCCGGATGTGTTCTGTTTGTGTCCCTGGTTTACCTATTTTGAGGGTATTTCGATGATCCATGAGCACCCCACGCTATTCCGGAGAGCACCGGAAGTGCTTGTGGGATTTTGGGTATATTTTATCTGGGGTGATCTACGGGTCCCCCATCATTTTTTCGACCAAATTTTTAATTCGCATGGCATTTATTGGGACTTCGAGGACTTTAGACTCGAAAAATTTGTATTTGGATGCTAGCTATTAGAGAGTTTTTGATATATGCCTACTACGCCACCACTGCTACCTGCAACCTTTAATGAAAAAACTTTACCACTAAACAACTACAATACTTTTATAAACCTCCATTTTTTATGTACTTTTTCATATATTTTTAATTTGATTTTACAATCAATTTTGCTACGGCAGATATTCGAACGCGTCGCGCGTGCGTTGCGGTCGGGGAGATTGGGAGAATTATATGGCGTAATCCGGATAACGGCACTACTTTTATCTGCCTATATTTTTCTATACTGTTCCGTATATTTTTAATGTGATTTCTCAGATAATTTTCCTACGGACGATCATCGAACGCGTGGCGGGCGCGTTGCGGTGCCGCGAGGCGAATTATATATCGTTTCACCGTTCTATTGGCTTTTAATCTACCAGGTTTTAAATCAAACTTAATAGGCGTCTTAGTACCTCTTAATATGCAAGCTCTCATAGCTAACAAGGTAGATTTTTTCAAATCGCCTCTCTAAATTCTAAAATCCGTTT